CTGCAAAGAGGCTGTGGTAAATTACTGTGGAGCATGGTGTAGAACAGTGGGGGCCAACCTTTTGGCAGGCATGCCACAAATCAGCGTGTCACCCTCCTTGAGTGCCACTTGTTCCTTCCCTTGCCTGATCTGCTGTTCTGCTTTCTGCTTCTTGCCCTGTCTGCCATTCCCTGGGCTCCCTGAGCTGCCATGTGCCACACATGCCACGCTGACCGCCTGTTGTGTAGTACAATCCCCATGATCAGGGTGAGCCCTTGTATAGTTCCTTCTTACAGGTTTGCCTAGCAGTTAAAACTCAGCTGAGAGTTGTATCCCAAGATACCAGATATTTACTCACAAGAGATCTAGTTAGGACGGGGCCAAGCTGGGGAGCAAAAGCCCTGGTTAGACTTTAAAGAACACACTCCAGGCAGCAGGAGAGCTTCAACTGTGACAGTCCTGTCCTTCCCTCTCCACAGAGGGATTGGGGGCTGGTAGAAGTAGGGGGGATAGTAAAAGCTATTTGTTGGGCATGTGATAACCGCATTGACTTTCAACTGCTGCAGCAACCAGAGTAAATACTGAAAAGGGAAGTTATTTGTCTCATGGGTAGACTTTGTTGTGTCCCTTATAGCATGTCTGGAGGAGTGCTTTAAGTATTTTGCAAGTTGAAAGGCCAGCTTGTTCTGAACCAGTTAGGGGTGGGAGGAAACATGGCCTGCTAAGGTCACATGTAAAGTGCTTAGTTGCTGTAGTCAGACTTTCTAATAGAATGTGAGTTTTTTAACTTGGGAGCTTTGCATGGTAACTTTGTAGGTGAGATGGAAAAGAATTTCTGAAGCCATTGATCTGATTTAGCAAACATCTCCAGATTCCAGTTAGGCTTTTTCACTTCTGCCTCCCTTTTTCCTTTCAGTCCACTGATAATAATGATTAAACTTCTTGAAAACGGATTTTGAGACACAAGATAGTTTTGTCTCTGTTCTCAAAATCTGTCTTAATAATATTTCTTCAGTAAATTGTGAAAGATTTGTACAAAATTAAGAGAAACCATAGGATTTTATTTGACTTGTATCATCATTTAGTCTTTTATAATTCGAGTGACTTGTAATGCTTTGATTTTTTTTGATTTTTTTCTAATATAACAGCCCTCACAAATTGACCTGTGTATTTAAACTAGAGATACACAAGCAAAAATTCTGGAATTGACAACTGATTTTTGTTGTAATCTGTCTACTCTAAGAGCTTTTGCCAGCATAGTTAATTCACAAATCGCACCTCATCATGTTTCCAACTAACATAACATTAGCAATAGTTTGTAGTGTAGGCCTGACCTAAGTCTAGTTTCTTATGTACACGCAGCTAAATTGGTTTGAAATTACACCTTAAGAGTTGGAGAGAACTCCATCATTCGTTTACCTGCAAACAATTATGACCAGTGCCCCATGGCTCAAGAAGCTGGGCCTGAAATATCTGGCAAGATTTCTGCATTGCATGGCAAAAATTAAGCTAATATACAGCTGAAAAAATAGTCCTTCAACAACCTTATTTTTAAAATTAAATATACATTTTTACTGTCTGCAAATATTCTCATTTTTACTTTAACTGAAATGAAATCAAAGTAGCTTGCTTTCCTCAGATGTTAAAAACTTATTTAAAGAAATTGTAGCATATGTTGTACATTTTTGGGATCTTATTGCTAACCAGTAAAGATACGAAACATTTTTCTGAAATATAGAATCTTTGTTTCTAAAACACAGTTCTGTAGCATGAGAAGGATTCTGCCGAATGACAGAACACAGTAATCTGATTGTAACAGCATTAAAACATGAATAGCTTTTTATTATATACTTTGTATAATACTGTACACTCATGCACACACACATACATGCATGCACACACAATACTCCCCATGGGAAAAGCTGGAAAGGCTTGGCAGTGTTTGGTGGGGGAGGTCACCTCCACTCCAGGTTGCTCAGCACAACCTTCCCCCTGCTCTCCAGCTCTTGAAATTTGGTGGAGGATCAGATGCGTCTCCCAGGGGTGAGTAACTCTGGCCACCCCTGGGCTATAGCATAATATACACGGCTTGAAATATATATTCTTGTTACTGTAGTTCAGTTTTGTTTTTTTTCAGTGGGGCTTGTTTTGGATTTGGAAAGTCATTTCTTAGCATGCGCTCCAGGAGAATTGATTCCAATGTGTATATTTGCTTCGCTTCTCTAGCCATTGATTCCTGCCTTTAGAGTACCTTGCTTATATATAACAGTGTGGAATTCTTGATTAAAGAACTTGCACCTGATGTATGATTGCATGTCCTTCCGTAAGCCTGGAAAAAGTGGTTCTTTTGATGAATCAGATGTACCCAGTTTCAGTGGTTAGGAGTTCTTTGTGCTTCCATTTCTGCATTTGAGTGGGTGTTCAAAACAGAACATACAACTGGAACATTTCCAGTTGCTGTAATTCTTAGACATTGTACAACATGTCATTTATTTGCTTTGTTGGCAAACAGTCTGGTAAACCAGAGGGATGGCTCAAATGGCACATTAGAGATTGCTCTCTGCCAGAGTATCTTGTAGTGCTTTGCTGTATGCATACTTCAGTTCCTTTTTCGGGTAATTGTGAAATAGTCTTGATCATTACCAACTTAGTCCATAGCCAGGCATTGAGGTGCAGGGAGGATTTCCAGCCATTAATTCTTCCTAGAAAAGATTGGGGGAAAGCACTGGATTTCAGGTGAACTGTGCCAAAATATTTTTTTGCTGTCTTAATACTATATAGATTTATCCTGAGATTTTCTTCAGATAAAATAATGCAATGCAGTAATTCCTCATTCTCACCATGAGGTAAATGGATATTCCAGGAGTCCTTACCAAAGCTGTACAGAAAAATCCTTTTTCAGTGAGGTTAGCCTTTTGTGAAAAAGGGATTTCTAAGATTCATTTGAAGCTTTGTTTCTCAAATCTCCTGTACTGCTACTTGGATTTACCAGTCAAGTGTTTTTGGGATTTCTTGAATGAGGCTGTTTAAACTTATTTAGTAACTTAGCTATTCCTTTACTGTGATACATGTGAATGACAGGCAAATTACTGTGGATTTCATGAGAATCTACAGTAAATTGTGCAGATACATTTAAAATATGATTATGTCTTCTGCTTTGCTTCTTTGGAGCTTGAATGTGCTCCTGGGTTCTGTTAGGCTTATTCCTCTTGATTGGGAGAGAAGAAAAATGCAACAGTGACACCTCCCAGATACTTTGCATGTGTCACACCAGAAATGAGATGCTGCTTTGTTGTCCAGATCTGCACTTTCCCCCTTAAATAACTACGTAATTTGCCAACTAATTAAATGTCAAGCCAGATTCATCTTTAGAACTCATTAGGTATACTTTTCTCTGAAATAAAGACTGGATTGGAGTGAATATTTTTGTTCTTAATAACTTTGAAAGAAGTCAGGACATTGATAGCTCAAATCTTTCATCACTGTGTATTAAAATATTGAGTTTTGTGTTTGTGGCATCCTTGGCTACTAAAAATACTTCTAAGGTGTAGAATTACCAGGTATAAAGTACTAATGCTGACCAAATATTTGCTTTATGTGGGTTCTGTATATGCAAATTTGCTTTTATGCAGTGGCCCTTTTTATACCAAAAATTCATTGTGTGAGGTTAATTCACTCTTATATGGTTGGTGTGGTGGAAGCCTTCAGTTAGCTGCTTTATGCAGTGCATTGTGGGAGTGACACACACCAAAATATAGCCTCATGTGGGGATCTGTGCTTCTTGCTCGTTGTCTGCGATGTGTGTTGCCATCCCCATTATGCTAGTGCCCTGTGCTTGTGTGTAGTCTTCCGTTGGTGAGTACCAAAATTGCTTTGTAAAAGTGGTAGAAATGGATCTGGGGGTCAGTACAGTCCAGGTCTTGGAATGTATCCCTATTTGTTACATTGTAAAGTGGGATGCTCTTTATGTGAATTAGAGTTGTGTGCCATTTTCCAGGAATGCATGTACAGCATAAAGCGAGGGAAACCTGTATTCTATATAGAAAGCTGGCTTTTTAAGTTTATCCAGCAAGTTAGAGTCACAGTTAAGTGATGGGAGTCTTACAAAAAGTTTACCATTGCAGTGTTGGAAATTTGAAGCTCATATTTATATTAGTTTTGCTGTCTGGGAAGTTGTAAGACTATTTCAAGTTAAATGAAAAGCCAGTCTATTTCAAATCACTAAACCTAGTCTAGCTGAATGGTGTATCTACCTTTTTGTATTTTAACAGTTGCTTCATTTTCATTCTCCATCTTAATGATGTTTAGTTGCTCTGGTGACTGATATAGTATTTTTTTTTTTTTATTGGGCAATACTGTCTTCTGTTATCTTGCTTGTTTCAATGGGCTACAGCTTGCTTAAATTACTGAAAGAGTACTCTTCAAGCTATATGATTTTTCTTTCTGTTTTGCCCTGTTGGTTGTATTAAGTATTGTAAACACAGCCAAAAGAACACGCCTATAGCAAGGCACCAGAACCTTTTTGCTGCACCTCTGTGAGGGCGATCTATGTCTAAGGGTTAACGTGCATTGCCATGGAAGCATTCAGGTCACATACTTCTGTCTCCTAAGACCTAAGTGAGGTTGGTTTCCCAGTGAATCCTGTTTGCACCTGGAAGGGTAAGAAGCTGAGTGCTAAAATTTTATTGCTTTGAGGGCTGGACTTCTTTACAAGTGCTGTTTTTCACTGGAGCCTTATCTTTTTTTAATAGGAGTTGGTTTCAGTTATACCTAACTGTCCTGCTCGTTGCTTCATTGTGGATTGAACTTGCTGCAGTGACACATTAATGCAGATAGCAAATAAAGAGGAGAGGAAGTACCTTGTATTGCTGACGTAACAGTTAGAGCCAGTTTGGAAGTAGTGTTGACAAGCTCGTAGAATGTTGTTTCAGAACTTTCTCTGCATAAGATTGGCTGCAGTGCAAAATTGAAGGTATGAGAGTAGGGGAAATAAACGGTGATTCATTTGCATGGCTATCACAATGGCAGATGAACTGCAGGAAGAAAATGCAAAAGATAGAATAGAGCAAATGGGTAGTATGGGAGATTTAAGACTTGTGTGTGATGTCAGAATGAGTGGGGCTGGCGATTTTGAAAGAGACCTTTGTCAGAAATTCCTGGCTAACTAGGTTGGTGAAAGCCGGATGACATCTAGATGGTGAAGGAAAAAGAGATTGCTGAGGTGGATCAGACTAGTTTGCAAATGGTTCTCTGCAATCTGGACACTGTTATACTTGCAGTTCAAGGTCTTTATTAGCTGCTTAGCATCTTTCTTCACTGAAAATGAAGTGGGTCTCTGTACTGCATAGGATACAGAAAGTATTCACTTTTTCCCAGAATAGGAGAAAGAGTTGCTTGGAACGCCAGCTGTAACATGCCATACTTTTTGAGCTTAGTGTTTTAAGAAGTATTGAAACTGTTGTGTGGCTAAACGACTGGGTATTCCTGGAATTGTTCTGTAGGTAAAGGTCTATGGAGTGTTCTGTGCCAGGCTACAGAGCTGCCTGTTTGGACTGTTGTGTAGACAATACTATCACTGTATAGCTGGAAGGCTGACACACAGAATATGTTATAGAACAGTGCTTGCTGTGTGTCTCTATCTTGGCATGCCTTCAGCAGGCTCTGTGTTGTAAGCAGTTGCCCAAAAAATAGACAGAAATAGATGTCTGGTCATAAATCAGTTACGAAAATCAACCTTAGCCTTACCAAGCTAGAGGTTTAGAATGTCGTCTTCCATACTAGAGAATACTTTTCAACTTGTTCTTTGTCTGCTCATGACAGAAGGAAGGAACTTATGGGAAACAGTAAATTTAACTGGCTAATACTCAAATATTGCAGCTCAACAGCTGACAGTGTCCAATATATCACTTGGTCAAAGCATTTTTAAGGTCTGTCTGATAATAGGGACATACCAAATTCACGGTGGAAGCGGGCTGTGCAGCAGCTCCTCTAATCTTGCAGGTCCCCCCCCCCCCCCCCCC